CATTGCGGGTGTCTGGCAGCATGGTAGTTCCGCCCCTGCGGTAAATTGGGGAGGGAGTGGAGGATATTGACCATAGGAATCCATATTTTAAAATAAGGTATGTGGTACAAACTTTAGCTGGAGTATACTCATCAAACTCGCTTAATACATTGCAATCAGATTAATTGTTAAATAATGCTTTAAAAAATTCATAAAAAACGTTTTGATAACAAGCTTTTATGTTATAATGCACTAAAAAGTAGAAAAGAAATTATGCACTATTATTTAAATTACTATAAAGAAAAACGTGGGTCACTTAAGTATCTGTTGGATACCTTTACTAATATTTAGGAAGAGACCCACGCTTTTCTTTATAGTAATTTAAATAGGAGTGTATAATTTATTTTCTACTTTTTAGTGCATTATAACATAAAAGCTTGTTATTAAAACGTTTTTTATGAATTTTTTTTAGTACTTTACATGTTTTTACTTACAATAGAGTTTCATGACTAAAAACCATTGCGCGCCTATTAAACGTGATAACGCGCTATTGAACGGGATGACGCTTGTGGTGTGGTTGGATAGAAATGCCTACTAATTCGGTCAAAATTTTAATGAATTCATAAAACATTAATTAGGCATCCAATTTAGTCGAATTTAATGTCACGATGAATTGTCTTCATGTCTTGACCCACGTTCCAACTACGAACCGTATCTGTCAAGTAGAAAAGCCTGCAATTTCGCACCGGCGTTTTGATCTAGACAGACTGATGACTGACAACTGACGACAGAGGAAGTGAGTTAAATAAAAAGCTTGTAAAAACATACACACAATGACCGATAAATCAACCAAACACACACATACACAAACACAGATATATACATAGGTAGAGAAATATATTAAACGAGACGAACCGCGGCGTATCATATGCCGCTATTTAGTTGTTTTATTTTCTACTTTTCAGTAATTCATAATTTGTGAATTCGAAAGTACCAATGTTGCCACTGAATATATTTGCTTTAAAACACTGTCAGTAGGTCGTTACGGACGATAACCCCCCCCCCCCCCCCACCATCCTTTCCCCCAACCCAACCCCTAACCCCCCCCCCCCCCCCCGTGAAAACAGTCTCCTCTTAGTTACCTCTCCAAAGTTTAAAATCGTTTCAAACTAAATTATCTGCCCCTAATACCCGTCACTAAACCCGGCTCTACGATTGTAACCATTTAGCGTGAACCACAGCTAACCAGACCATGTTGGGGTGGGGGTGGTAGGGATATGCCTAGAGAGGAAGAGAGGGGACTGCTAAGCGCGCTTACAGCTTGGTGTTTTCTAGGGTATCCAAGAATAGAATTATATATATATAGAAGCTCATTCTAAGAATTATTTCTGAATTATTCAAAGTCGAGGTTAAGAAATTAGACTGCTAACTAGCTGTATGGCCTAGTTGTCGACATCGAATTTGTGACACAGTAAGAAAAAGGGACTGGTAAAAAAGGCCACTTTCCAAGTTAGTGAGGGGGTGGCGTTTTTTTCAACAACGTAAATATTTAGGTCTAAACGGAGGGGGGGGGGGCGCAAAATTGATAGTTCGCACGGGCGCCGGAACGGGTAGCTAATCCTCTGGGCGTGTGATTCAACAGATGACACACCAGCAACCGTTTAGTTTTCCAGGGTTCAGGTTAGAAATTTTAAAAAACAAATGCGTAAATGATATGAATAAATTACAAGTATACTTACAGATCAGTTGAGGTTGTTTGACCAGCTTTTTGTTTTAAAAGTTTTGTCTCTACTTTTTTTTTTAAACAGTGAGGGTCACCTTATTCTTCGACTGTGGTGTGTACGCTATCAACGATGAGCTTGCGCGCCGACTGTGGAAGAGCGCTAAAGACAATGAATTCATACCATTCAGTGTTGCCACGCCCTGGTAAACGAGTAGCCAATCGTATCATTACATCTTAACCAACCTTGCATCATTGTCGACGTGGCTGTTTCCCACTGAATAACTCCATTAGACGTCATCCACAAAGGCGTTGTGTTCGGGAGGAAACAATCCATATACCACAGAGCTACTAACAAAGCCTGTTTACGAAGTGAAGTGTTGTGTACAAATTATATGAGATAAAGAACATAAATAGTTTAAAATCATGTATGCTAAAAATTATACGAAAACCTCAGATACGAATTGCAGACAAGGAAGCGCAATAGCAGTTTCAAAAGATGGAAGGGAAGACTGAAAGAGAGACACACAAGAGACATACAATAGCAAATTGTTGGAATACGACATGGATATTTCGTTGACTGGTTGACTATGTAATTAAACAAGCTAGAGGAAACAAACTGCATTCCAACGGACACAACAGCTCGAAGTCTTGGATTTCGCAGATGTGCGTTGCCTTCTCGCACGTAGTCAACAACAAATGCAAAACAAATTATACTGGTTAAAAAAGCAGTAATAGCCGGTTTGATGATAGTGGCACGGCCTATGACGTTCCCATTAGAATCAGCAACGAAAATAACCGGGGTCTCCAGGCTGCTGCTTTATTCCCCTCCCCTCTTTAAGGTGTTGCCTTTGAATCCAGTTTGTGATGTAAATGCAATAACGTGCATTCCTGTGTAACTAATGCAATAGGATTTATAGTCTTATAGAGACTGAGCTTTACTTACAACAAAATGTGTTTCATGTCTAATCCCTGTTTGATTAAGTACAGAAGCAAATATTTTTCTAGCAAATAAAATACTCATACCTAATTCAACAGATTCAAGAGCAAATACAAACCCAAAAACACCTACGCACTCAGACACGTTTGCAATCAAACACAAATACAAACGAACACACATCCTCAGCGATTTAGGGATTAAAGAGGGGAGGGCGGGGGGGGGGAATAAAGCAGCCGCCTGGAGACCCCGGTTATTTTCGTTGCTGATTCTAATGGGAACGTCATAGGCCGTGCCACTATCATCAAACCGGCTATTACTGCTTTTTTAACCAGTATAATTTGTTCTGCATTTGTTGTTGACTACGTGCGAGAAGGCAACGCCAGTGAGAGATTAAAGAGGGGAGGGGAATAAAGCAGCAGCCTGGAGACCCCGGTTATTTTCGTTGCTGATTCTAATGGGAACGTCATTGGCCGTGCCACTATCATCAAACCGGCTATTATTGCTTTTTTAACCAGTATAATTTGTTCTGCATTTGTTGTTGACTATGTGCGAGAAGGCAACGCCAGTGAGAGATTACATAACATTCTTTCTAACAATAAACTGGTTTATATGTAATGCTCACTTGCTCATTAGCAATGTACAAAGATTTACAAGCAACACTATAAGTAAATTATAAAACTCGTAAATCACTTGTTAATGCTTCTATGAATTCTAAGATGGTTTGGTCTATGTTCACTTGATAACCTGGGTATAGCAGTCATATATTACGGCATTTGTTAGAACAGCTATACCAGCCGTTCATTTCGTCACTTGTTAGAATAGCTTTAACAGCTGTTTACTAATCCTACATTGAACCTAGTTGTAAAGACCGTCCATTACTGTGTAACAAGTAATATTGGATATAACATAGAGCATAACATTCTACATTCCACATATTTAATTGAACTACTGAAAAATTAATTAAAATTCCACAGTGAGAAAATTACGAAATGTGCAAGTATTACATTTACAAAGGTTTAGCCGGTCGATAAAGGATACGTGTCGTACTAGTGTAAGCTTGACATACATAGGCGGATCGGAATGATGAGTAAGTGGGTGGCTAAGCCAGTGTTTCTTCCAGATTTTTTTCTCGGGGGGGGGGGGGAGTAGGGGCACTTGATATTTTCGGGGGGGGGGGGGGATCAATATTTTCAGGGAGGGGGGGGGGGACACTAGTAAAAGTATATATTTCTACATAAATTCTATTTCGTTCGGGGGAGCGGTAGATTTTCTTCGGAAGAGATGCCTGGAAGAAACTCTGGGCTTAGCGAGCCAACGTCCCCGGGGCTCGCCCGTTTTGGCCCATACATACACACAGAGTAAGCAAGTGAAATAATAGCTTGGTTTTACAACTTTTTTTTTTTTTTTAAAATTATTGTTCGTACTTTGTGTTAAACTGAGACATAAACAAAATTTTGGAGATAAATTCCAGCAGTTTCCAAATGTATTCAGAAGTTTAACATCAACATAAAGACGCAAATTTTACATTGTCAGTACTTGACTGTTTTCCGTTTTTCCCTTCAATTATTAATTTCAGGGTGTTTTGAAAAAGAATTGAGGGGTTTTTTTTTGCAATTAAAACATCGATATCCAACTCTTGCGGGAATCGATATGTTAATTTCAAAGACGGTTTTTTTACTGAACTAGAAGTACCATCTCTACTTACAGAACTTGAAATAAGCAGACAAACTTAGGGAATACAGCAAGGAATTTGAACTCGAGACATTCGTATTAGTATTCTTATGCTCTACCAATTGACCTCTCTGTCCGCTAACATTCCAAATATGAATTTTTTAATGAGTAAGAATAAATTAGTTTATTGATAATACAGGATTTTTTTTAACATAGAGAGAAATACAAAATAAAAGTCCCCACCAAAACGAGAGAACAGAGCCGCCGATGACATTATTAAAACAAACAATCGAAATTTGGCTTGTTCGGTCTACCTAACCTGACAACATCCGAACTCGTCACGCGGTCACGTGGTGCTTAGTCACTTAATTAACCTCGTCGACACGCCCCGTTTTCCTCGGTCTAGTCAAATACATGTAACCTGTAGTGAACCACATTTGACCCATTTACCGTCAACAGTCTAGGCGTACATCCCCCACCCTTCTCCCCCACACACAAACACATACATGTCGATTACAATTCTATTGGATTTTTTTGGCCAAAATTTCACATCTATGTTATATACTTAATGTGTTACTATGATCGTTTATGTATTTGTAACTTTTAGCTGTACTGTTTTGTGAAGGCCGTACTACGTACCGTTAAATTATGCAACATAAATTAAAAAAAAAAACAAACAACTATTTGTGATATTTTTAAAATAATTTATTTATCATAGAACAAGACAAACACACATTTCTTTATTTTTACTTACACTGTTAGGTGTTTTCAAAGTTTTATTTTTTCTAGTTAAATTTCTGCCGAAAACCGTACGTCGAATCATTTGAAAAAAAAAATATACTCTTGAGAATGTAAAACATGTTTTCAGTTTCTATGAACTTGTGTAAGTTGTGGCAGCTACCATGATAGACTGATGTTCAATACATCAATCAGTAACCACAAGGCTTTTGCGGTTTTAGAACATTGTTGAAGCTCGATGGCCAGCCAGTCCTGCGAAAACAAAGACAATAATGATAAAAGAGGATAATAGATTTTTCTTCTAGAATTTTTTTTTACCTTACCGTACTGTAAGATATATCAGCCATCATGGATTTAATTGGGATAAAAAATTATGAGAAAATTATTTAAATATTTAATTGACAGTTGATACATTTTAAAACTCGTTCCTCTGACAAAGACACAAGAGATCGCAGAAAATTTAATTATACTTTAAAAATAAAACTATTATAAGATGTTGATCTAAATAGTGATTTTAAGTTATATAAACTACTCTAAAATTATCGAGCAATATACAGGCAAAGAATTATTACACATATAAAGCTATATAACTTTCTGGATTAAGTATTGAAGGAAAAGTGAATCCATACACATGTTCTTGCTTTAACGTCTTATAGAACGATCCATCTTCCAATGACCAAAACTGTCCAGTGCAGTTCACAATTATCGTCGCTCTAGGAACTTGCTGTAAAAAAACCTCAAATGTTAATGACACACACATACAGTTAAATTAACAATACATCGTGTTATAAACAATCATGTACTGGTTATAAAAGCTGTAGGTAAATAGTTTGACAATATGCCAGCTCTTTGTCAAACCACAATGTCCATTCGAATTCCAGGGTCATAAAAATGTAAATTTTCTTCGTTTTCTTTTAGAAGAATATGCAGGGTGTATAGTGCAAAAATAAATACAAATAAAAATGTTTTTTAAAAAATCCCAATGTTTTTAAACCACAGGTGCCGAAATTTTGTATCAATCTTGTATGTCAGTCTTTTTTGTCTATATTACTGTAAATACGATAACTTGGATATCATTTTAGTTAGTTTGACGATAGTTCATATATTATTACTTTATTGCATTTTTAGCTTTCTTTCAACTTTTGGACAATTTCCGGAAAACAAAAGTGATTCTTACTTTACTTCCGGTTACTCAAAAGCCAATAACCTGAATAAACCTTGGTGGACAAAATATCATATATAATTATTAATTGTATGCGCAGGCTACTATCAACTGTTGAACGATTTTCGGTAGCCGGAACTTATTCTTTACTACATTTCCGGACGATCGCTATAACTTGAGTACTATTTCAGTTATGTGGACAAGTACAAGAGCTTATACTTGGATTACTTTAATATTTTTAGTATCCTCCAATAACCAGAAATGGTTCTTTACCTCATTTCTGGTTTTTAAAAGACCGACATCTTAATTATCTTTCCAGGTATGTGGACATAATTTAATTGATAAGCATGATTTTGTTTTCTTGATTTTACACCATTTCAAATTACTCAAAAATCATAAGAATATGATAACTTAAAATCACTTTTAGATCGAATTTTTTTTTCTACGCGTTTCCATTCTATGTATGATAAAATTGAAAATTACTGATTTATAATGGTATATTTAGCTTTATTTCCAATCTCTAACAAAACCTTGAAATATGCTCATTTTTATCATTTTCTCAAAAAGCATATTTTAATAAATCTTCACTTCAATCTGAATTCTCAGGAAAAAAACTAGGCAATTGCCTTGTCCTAAACTTCTGCATTTGTGCAGAGTTTTTTCCAGGCCCCCCCCCCCCCCCCGAACGAAATGAAATTTATATAATTTATATAGAAAATATATACGTTTAACAGTGTCCGCCCCCCCCCCCCCCCCGAAGAAAGTTTACCGCCCCCCCGAAGATTTCAAGTGCCCCCCCGGAGAAAAAAGTCTGGAAGAAACACTGCATTTGTGTAGTCCGAATGCACTGAAAGTGCTATTCCCCATACTGTTACATGAGAAAATACGATAAAGTTTAGGAGAGATCATTCCTGCTTTATTTTTAATTGCATAAAAATAATGCGATTAATATGCATAAAGTATAAAATTCAGCCTCGTACCTGATTGCCGCACCAATCTACAAAGCTTGTGAATTGATCATTAGCGTTACCCAAACGACTTATTACAGAATCACATCCAGCATACGTAGCAATGTCGGCAGTCCAATTTTCTGGTAAAACTCCAGTAGTTCGGCTAAAATGTATGTACATTATTACAATTGTTATAAACATGACCCCCCTCGCCTAAAAAAAATGATTTCAAATCTGTTCTAAGTCAAGCAAAATTACGTTTACATTTACCAGACCATTTTGTTCAAGCTTGGCATATAGGTCAAGAATCGTAGGCAATGCACGTTAATAGATTTTTATCACAAAAGTCTCTAGTTCGAATCACTGATTAGAATGGTTTGGAAGTTTTGACCTCACCAGCTAAGATGGATACATAACCTATATTAGGGAAGGCAAATTTAGCTGGGCATTGGAATTATCTCATCATATCTCCATATACCGAGGGCGCAAAAAAGATAAACTCTACTTAACCTGCTCTATAGACCAATTGACCTGTGAAATTTTTTTTAACTTATTAAGTAAGACGGGCCATTTTGTGACGCCATTTATATAGTTCAAAAACATACTAAAACACCCTTGACAAAAACGTTGTTTATTTATATCTTTAATCTAACAAATTTTAAACGATTAAGTACATTTTCTCTACATCTACATCTTCTCTACATTAAATTCCACATCATCATCCACATCCACATCCTCATCCACATCCACAACTACATTTGCATTTGCATCTGCATCGGCATCTGCAGCTACATATACATCCATTTTTATAGGCCTAACTATATTTACACATAGATATACATACATATATATATATATATATATATATATATATATATATATATATATATATATATATATATATATATATATATATATATATATATATATATATATATATATATATATTTAAGTTATTTAAAGTTATTATTTTCTTAATACACAAATGGACAAAGTATCCAAAAGTGCAAGAGTGTATCTGTATCTGTATATATATATATATAATATAAGCGGGCTGGTGTGTGTCAGTCCTTCCTTCCTTCCTTCCTTCATTCCGTCATCGCTATAGATAAAAGTAATTATTCGCACCATGCTGTGCTTTTCAGTGCACCGCAGTGTCTTAGTATAGGTATTAGAGTAGGGTTTGTTTATATAGCGGCTTAGAGCTATTTTATAATTTCCACTGTTTGTACAATTTTGCATAACGTAAAGAGAATATTAAATACACGCACATTGCTAAAACATATTAAAAGGATCAATGTCAAATATTGTTTTCTTTTTTATTCATTAGAAAGGTGGAAACATTTTAATAACGTAATAACAGTAGGCTAGAAAAATCAAATTAATTTAACTCTTTTTTCTAATTTTGACAAGGGAGGTAATTCAAAAATAAATTTAACTCACGCTTAAAAAACATGTGAATGCAAATTTACGGACCTCCTTGAAGGAATTAGTGTTGCAATAATATAATTAGCAAAATGTGAATGCAAATTGTGGGATGCGGATTGTTAGAAAATTATAATTAGCATGGATTGATAAAAGGCAATCTTTTATTTATTTCATTCACTGAATTTACTGTTTACTACATATAATTTTTAATTAACTATTCCGCAACATTTTAGGCGCGTCATCACGTTCATTGGGTGGATGGTGCGCAATTGTTTTAGTTATGAAACTCTATTGTAAATTTTTAAAATTTAAAGTACTGGGGAAAAAATGCGTGAATTGGTAAAGTGATATATGGTAGGTAAAACACGGATATTTTAAATATTGCCTATTATTTATTGTATATTATTTATTATTATTCTATCTTTTGGTTTGCGGACAAGCTGGGGGTTTTATAGGAGAGGCGTAGCGAGGGGGGGGGGCATATGTCCCCGGGTGCCGACCTTAGGGGGCGCCAAAGTCGGTGGGAAAAAATTTGCGAGGGGGGGGGTGGAAATCGCAAGTTTTAGGGTGGGAGGGGTGCAAATCAAAAGTTTGAACGTGGGGGGGGGGGGGGGGGGGGAATCTCATAACAAAAGTGGTGTAAATCGAAACCCTGGGGGGGGGGGGGGGGGGGCAAATAGAAAGTTTAAGGGGGTGGGGTGGAAATTAAAATTTTGAGGGGAGGGGGTGCGGTGCATATCGTAAGTTTGAAGGGGGGGGGTCAAATCGAAAGTTTGTCCCCAGGCGCCGGAAAGGGTCGCTACGCCTCGGTTTTATAGTCATTCACGCGCGATTTAGCGCTACGGGCTAGACTGAGAGCAATATGCCTTTATGATTGCATTTAAATTGTGTTTATGTTATGAGTGTTGTGTTTTTGTTTTCTTTTTTTTTTTTTTTTTTTTTTTGCGTTCGTTTTTGTTATGTTTTGTTTTGTTCTGTTCCCAAGTTGGTATATTTTAAAAAAGATTTACCGTGGCGGAGCACGGGATACAGCTAGTACATATATATATACATATAAATATACATATATATATATATATATATATATATATATATATATATATATATATATATATATATATATATATATATATATATATATATAATGACTTACTTTATCATAATTGTGTACGTTTTTAGCACAATTGTTCCATTTACTACTTTCGTTGCCTCAACATAAAATTGAATGATGTCATAGTAAGATTTGCGGGTGAAAAATTTTTGTGCCTAAACAAAATAGATCTATATATATTACAAATGAAAAGAGAAAAGCTTTAAAGCATCTTTAAATATAAATATAAATACGCAAAAAACGCATATATACAAAAAACATAAATACATATAAATTTAATTAAATGTAAATACATATATATATATATATATATATATATATATATATATATATATATATATATATATATATATATATATATATATATATATATATATATATATATATATATATATATACATATATATATATATATATATATATATATATATATATATATATATATATATATATATATATATATATATATGTATAAATGTTCATAGGTATATATGTATATATGCATATATACATATATGCATATATGCATATATACATATATGCATATATACATATATACATATATACATATATGCATATATACATATATGCATATATGCATATATGCATATATACAAATATTCATATATGCATATATGCATATATGCATATATACATATATACATATATGCATATATACATATATACATATATACACATATACATATATACGTATATACATATATACGTATATACACATATACACATATACGTATATACATATATACATATATACGTATATATATATATATATATACATTTATACATATATACATATATACATAAATACATATATACGTATATACGTATATACACATATACGTATATACATATATACATATATACGTATATACGTATATACACATATACATATATACACATATACATATATACGTATATACGTATATACATATATACATATATACATATATACATATATACATATATACATATATACATATATACATATATACGTATATACGTATGTACGTATATAGGTATATACGTATATACGTATATACGTATATACATAAATACATATATACATATGTACATATATACGTATATACATATATACGTATATACATATATACATATATACATATATACATAAATACATAAATACATAAATACATAAATACATAAATACATAAATACATAAATACATAAATACATAAATACATAAATACATAAATACATAAATACATAAATACATAAATACATAAATACATAAATACATAAATACATAAATACATAAATACATAAATACATAAATACATAAATACATAAATACATAAATACATAAATACATAAATACATAAATACATATATACATAAATACATATATACATATATACATAAATACATATATATACATATACGTATATACGTAAATACATATATACGTATATACATAAATACGTATATACCTAAATACATAAATACATATATACATAAATACGTATATACATAAATACATAAATACATATATACATATATACGTATATACATATATACGTATATACATAAATACATATATAAATAAATACATAAATACATAAATACATAAATATATAAATACATAAATACATAAATACATAAATACATAAATACATAAATACATAAATACATAAATACATAAATACATAAATACATAAATACATAAATACATAAATACATAAATACATAAATACATAAATACATAAATACATAAATACATAAATACATAAATACATAAATACATAAATACATATATACATATATACATAAATACATATATACATAAATACATATATACATAAATACATAAATACATAAATAAATATATACATAAATACATAAATACATAAATACATAAATACATAAATACATAAATACATAAATACATAAATACATAAATACATAAATACATAAATACATAAATACATAAATACATAAATACATAAATACATAAATACATCAATACATCAATACATAAATACATATATACATATATACATAAATACATAAATACATAAATACATAAATACATATATACATAAATACATAAATACATATATACATAAATACATAAATACATAAATACATAAATACATAAATACATATATACATAAATACATAAATACATATATACATAAATACATAAATACATAAATACATAAATACATAAATATATAAATACATATATACATAAATACATAAATACATAAATACATAAATACATATAAACATATATACATATATACATATATACATATATACATATATACATATATACATATATACATATATACATATATACATATATACATATATACATATATACATATATACATATATACATATATACATATATACATAAATACATGTATACATGTATACATAAATATATAAATACATATATACATGTATACATATATACATAAATACATAAATACATAAATACATAAATACATATATACATATATACATATATACATATATACATATATACATATATACATATATACATATATACATATATACATATATACATATATACATATATACATATATACATATATACATATATACAAATATACATATATACATATATACATATATACATATATACATATATACATATATACATATATACATATATACATATATACATATATACATATATACATATATACATATATACATATATACATATATACATATATACATATATACATATATACATATATACATATATACATATATACATATATACATATATACATATATACATATATACATATATACATATATACATATATACATATATACATATATACATATATACATATATACATATATACATATATACATATATACATATATACATATATACATATATACATATATACATATATACATATATACATATATACATATATACATATATACATATATACATATATACATATATACATATATACATATATACATATATACATATATACATATATACATATATACATATATACATATATACATATATACATATATACATATATACATATATACATATATACATATATACATATATACATATATACATATATACATATATACATATATACATATATACATATATACATATATACATATATACATATATACATATATACATATATACATATAAATATATACATATATATTATGTTTTTGTGTTATAATGTAATGAGTGTTTTTGTGTGTTTATGTTAATGTTTTTGTTTATGTTAGTGTACTTTTTGGTTACCCTTTGTTAATAAATGAAGAAATGCGACTGACCGAGGCATCGCCTATTTTTGTATTTATAATTGGGTTTTTTGTTAGTGCTCCGAGTGGCGCATATCTTGTCCCATTGAGGAATGTGATTTCTCCTCCGTCGAAAGTCCCGCTGTATATTTGAAGAAAGTTGGCATACGACTGGTCGTCGACCCGAGCTGCATTTGCTGCATTAAATATTACATTGTAAAGTAATTGTTTGACCAGTTAACTACAGCTGTATCGATTTTATTAAGAAGAAAATTATTAACAGAGAATATTCTAAATGAACTTTGTGAGTTAGTGGGTGTTTAAAAAATAAATCTCACAATGAAACTCAAGTTTTATTCTTGTTCGACCTCATTATTTTAGCTTTCTAATTTCATTTACTTTATTTAATTAATAATTTTGACTAAGACTAAGACTCATTTCTTTAAGGTTCATTATTATCTTTAGCAACAGATAACGATAATAGTTTACATCTTAAGCTGTTGTACAATAGATAACTTTTTAAACTGTATATGGTGCGCTGTTATTTTTTGGGTTAAATGTATGCTTAGAGCTGTTATTAAAAAGATATTTATGTATCAAATTTTGTCCATCTAACTGAAACTGTACTCAGGTTAGCTTATTTTCAGATAAAAAGAATAAAGTATCACTTCCGGTAACTCGAAAAATTTAAAAAGCTATTTAGGTAAAAAAAAATTCGGTTACCGGAAATCGCTTTACGTATGTGAGAAGCTTGCATATACAATCTAATGCTTAAGTTTGTTCTACCTAATTGAAAGGGTAATCAAGTAAAAAAAATGAAAGAAAGAATATTTTTTAAATGTGGTAAAACTGACTTACACACAGCAGAAAAAGCATGACAAAGTGTTAAACAGATCAGGAATTTATTCATCTTGATTTTCTAAATGTCAGAGAAAAAATTCAAAAAATATATATATAGTGAGAGAAAAAATTTCAGTATATATATATATATATATATATATATATATATATATATATATATATATATATATATATATATATATTTAAACCGATGCTATTTTGTAAGGAGTGAAAAATAAGCAACATTCTAAACAAGAAAAAAATCAATAATCTAACTATATAAACAGCAAAAAATTTGTGTGTGTGTCTGTGTGTCTGTCTTTTATGCATTACTACTACTTTCATCCAATTGCAATGAAACTTTAGGAAGTTGTTCAGAATAATCCAGGTGAGGTTTCTGCGAAAAAAAAATTTCAAATTCGCAGGGGCGGTGCCCCGACAGTGCGCGATTTATTTTTTCTCTATATAAAGTATATAAAAAAAAAGTCGATTGCGGTTCGACATTATTCACCCGATCGCCATGATAATTTAGGGAGTTGAATGGACACTCTAGGGGAGGTTTCAGCAAAAGAATATCTTTTAATTTCACAATGGCGGCGCCCCGGGAGGGTGCGCTTTTTCTCTATATACGGTATATAAAAAATAAAAGTCAGATTTAGCTCATCCGCGTGCCATGAAAATTTGAGTAGCTGATAAGAAAACTCCAGTGGAGGTTTCTGCCTAAAAGGAAATTTCAACTTCGCAGGGGTGGTCTAATATAAACATTGTACATTTGGTGAAAAACGATAAGTATTTTCAAAACAATGTTTTGGAACTACCGCTCTGTACATCTGGCTCACTTTTTCGCATAGAGCTGAGTGAATAAATGGGCATTATGGATAAACTATCGGTCAGCCTCTGCTCGCACGGCGAGTGCTAAAAAGTGACCACGAGTGAAATTATCCTTATATGAGCTATTAAAAAAAAATTCCCTCATAGAAACCCTTTAAAAACTCTAGGATATCTACATCTGCTCTAGGAGTTCAGGAAAAAAATAGAGCTACCGTCGGGAAAATTTTGGAACAATGTTTTAACTGACCAGAGGCCATATTCCCTTATATAAACATAGTATTGTTTTTGTAAAAATAAATAAATAAATCTGGAAGTACTAACCCTATCATAACTCCTGAGGTCGTAGAAATACCTTCGGGGGTTACTTTACAATAGGCGTTATCTTCGGGACAATTCCGTAACGGCTTTAGAACTGACCGGTCCGAATTCCTTATATAAACTTTGTTAATTTTGATAAAAAACGATGACTATTTTCAAAACAATGTTTTGGAACTTTGGCTTGAACATCTGGCTCATTTTTTCCACAAACCTGGGTAAATGAATCGGTTTTATGGATATAGTGTCGGTCAGACTCTGCTTGCACGACGAGGCTAAAACGTACCGCGAGTGAAATTCTCCTCACGGGCATGGGCGGGTGGTGAGTACCAACTTCCTTATTTCCGAGTCTAAAGATGTAATACTTGGCTAGTAGTTATAACTCAAAGAGTTAAGCATAAAACTATTTTTTTTAAATTTTTTGAAGCCTCCGTTGCCATGGTGAAGGTGGCCATATTGGATTTTATTGACGATTTTTAAATAGAAATAACTCAAAAATGGTTTGTACAAATTTCATGAAAACTTAATATAGTGTGCAGACACGTGTGTTTAAGACTTCTGATTGATTACATTTTTAAAAAAGAAGATAATTTTTTTTTTACTTTTTTTTCAATACATCACTGTAAAAATGTCATTATTTCGTCCAATTTTTCACTATTTCAACAATAAAAAAAAATTTTTACAAAAATTCCAAAAGTGTTCTATCAGTTTTATTTGGGCATATATACAGAGTAACTGGAGCAAATTAAGTTCAGTTCTGATAATTATTAACAAAGTTATTTTACCAATTGTACACAAAAACATCAAACTGAGAAAAACGCAAAAAACCAACAAAAAGTTGCAAAAAATGAAAATTTACCGCTGTATGTCACTAAAATCGGCCACATTTATAGCCTGAAGTATGGTGGTGCTGAATATATTCCTTCTGAGCTTGTTCGGCTGTTAATTTTCTTTTTTTCTGGCGCTCTTTGTTTTACCTAGAGCTGTAGAAAAGCTGTTTTCAATGCGTCTTTTTTTGGCGTCCTTCACTGAGTCTTCGACTATGGTTTCCTTCTTTTGACAGCAATGCCACAGCATGCCTGGGCCCAAAATTGAATTATGCTATCGCAGAAACAGCAGTATATTTTGCATGGTATCATGTCTAAAGCCAGTTATGATAAGACGATATCTTTGTTTATTGTGAATGGCTTTGTTCTGGATTCTTTTGCAGTTGTATATTTACGTTTACAACATTTTTATTACTGCCACACCATGCTTGAAGCAAACCCTTTACACTTTTTTCATCCATAGTAGCCACTACATCACAGTGGGCGAGGAAATGTATTGATATTATCAAGAAGCAAATCTCAATCGACAATAATTCTGCATGGCTATGGTTTACAATTAGCACTACCAGTACTAGATGTAACAGTGCTTTCTTCTGTCTATAAAAACTGTGTCTTACATTGCCGCAGTTTCTTAGTAAATGTGCATATTACATCTGCACCAGTGCTTGTCTGAATAGTGCTAGATTGAGTAGAGGCAGCTGCAATCAGTTGCATTCGGACTTGCCCTTGCTTTAGTAAATTAGTTAGATGTGTGTATCTATTTTTAGCGAGTGTTTTGTTCTACCCATTATCGAAAGAGAAACAAATTAAATCGTCTCACTGCTCAGAAGCTTAGAGACACAAAACTAGATCAAACTTAGCAACGCGCTGAAACTAAGGGAATGTTTACTTCCGAAGCGAAACGACCAACCGTTAACTAGCTTCCGCCATTGAATGCCAATGAAAAAAATTGAGGTCAAACATTTGCATACAGGAAAAACCCGACTGAGTAAAATAAACAACTTTATGACGTAAAAAAATAATCACATTAAAATGGGTATTTTGATTGGTCCTTTAATTTTAAAACAAATAAAGAAAGGAGGTCACGGCCTTTTCATTGATATAAAACACATTAGGTTTCCGCGAAGCCTAATAGTACTTTACTAGGTAACTGAAATGGCTATTTTTACCAAAAAATTAAACAAATGAACCAGGTTTTTCATAAATAAATACTGTTTTTAGGGTCATAACAATGTCATTTTTAGATTCAACGATGGTTGTTCTGTTTAGAATAGATCAAGTAAAAGTGGGAAATCGATGATTTAGTGGATTTATGACGAAAAGTACACCCGCCCATACCCTTACATAAGCTATATATTTTGTGAGGTCGTAGACCGACCCTGGAGGGTAATAAAAAACTTTATTCCTGTCGGAAAAAACATTATGGTCGATACATTTGTTCAGATGCCGTATTTTCTTATATAAGCATAGCAACCGTTTGTAAAAATTGTAAGAAAAAACGACGTCAATCGTTCAATTTACAATGGAAGTAGATTATTAAAATAAATATTTTTCAAACTATTTTATACTATTTAAAACATAAACAGAAAATAACGAAGTATAGCATTATTTTCAGTAAACAATTAAATTGTAAATTAAATTATGTATCCTAACCTAATTGTAAAAATTAATTTTGTAAGTCATTGTAATATAAGTTATGAGTTATACTGTTCAGGGAACCTCTGCAGTTTTATTACATTTCGAGTAATAAATTGCGATGTTCCCACCAATATCTCTGAAAACGGACTACAAATAACAAACAAACAACAACAACAATTTCTCTAAAATTAGCATTACTGTTTAAATGAAAGCACCCCACATATCAGCCAATCACCATTTAATTAAGCTTTCAAATTCTCAAATGTTTTTGAAATCCTAATCGAAGCTAGGCAGTATGCCTAGTAAAAAATAAATGTCAATGCGGTTTGACACCGTCCCGGATGGCCATGTAGCTGTGGGGGAGTTGATTAGAACACTGCAGAGAAAGGGTGCTGGAAAAAAATCTTTTTTTTTAATTTAGCAAGGGCGGCGCCACGGGAGGGTGCGATTTTTCTCTATATACGGTTTATAAAAGATAAAAGTCAAAAGCGGTCTGACATCTTTCTTCCGAGTGCTATAAAACTTTAAGGATTTGATGAAAATACTCGGGATATGATTTGATATGAGCGGCGCCCAGGAGGGTGCAATTTTCGTCAATAAAAGATTTTGCGCCCAGAGTTCCAGAGCGGCTATATCACCACTTTGCTTCTGTTAACCGCGCGTCCTGCATAGCGGGTAAAGGGTACTACTGAATTCAGCGTTTAAACATTGACAGGCGCCCCATAGATTGCACGATCCGAAGCGCCCCGAGTTCCCCTGCGAGCACTATGGCAAAGTAGTGTAATCGGGGGCTCCATTGAGCGCCCTCTATGTCCCTGACACATATGTGGTCACCGAAGTATGTTCTACCTCATTATTTCGGTGATTAACGCACACTCAAGGTTTTCATGCGTTAGTGTAGGTAAACCCGTGTCCTAATATTTATGATACAATTGCAGGCATTGTTTACATTTAAATAACAAAGTTTTAGAAAACAAGGTCACGAGTCTAAGAAACTATGGATTGGTAACGCATTGATGAAACCCTTCTTATATATTCCTTCAGACTTTCTTCTATTCCCGCGGCAACGCGCGGGGACGGGTAAGTTAGAAAAAAATAAATTCAGATTAAAGAGGAAAATAATAGATTTTTTAAATCTTTTAATTTTTAAGTTTAACACCATGTGTTAGTGTGTGTATATGTGCAAGTTTGTCTACGTGTGTGTGAGCGTTAGAGTGTTAGTGATTGTGTGTGCGTGAGTGAGTGTGCGTGAGTGTGCGCAAGTGTGCGTGCGCGTCTTTGTCTGTGAATGTTAGTGTGTGTTTGTGTGTATGTGTGTTCTTCTGATCGTGTTTGTGTTTGTTTGTTTTTAATATGTGTTAAGGTGTTAGTGTATTTTAGTATGTCACACTATGTGTGTATGTTAGTGTGTTAATGTGTGTGTATGTGTGTTTGTATATGTGTGTTTTTATGTGTTTGTGTGTGTAAATATATTAGTGTGGATAAGTGTGTTAGTGTTTATAGTGAGTTAGTTTATGTGTGTGGATTTTTTAGTGTGTATTAGTGTATGTTCCGGTTCGTGGGTGTTAGTGTGTATTGATGTGTGTGTGTGTTTGTTAATGCGTAAGTGTCTGCGTGTTCGTGTTTGTGTGTGTGTGTGTGTGCTAGTGAGTGTTAATGTAGGTATGTGTGTTGGTGTGCTGCGTTTTCGTACGTTTCTGTGTGTGTTATTTTGTGTTAGTCTGTTAGTTTTTGATAGTGTGTAGTTGTATGAGAGTGCGTTTTTTTATGTTTTCGTGTGTTAGTGTGTGTGTGTGTGTTAGTGTGTTAGTGAGTTAGTGTATTTATCTATAAGTGTGTGTTAGTGTATGTGTGTGTTTGTGTGGGTGTGTTGTTGTCGTTTAGTATGGTTAGTGAGTTAGTGTGTGTTACTGTGTGTGCGGTTGTGTTTGTAAGTATTCGTGTATTTGTGTGTGTAAGTGTGTGTGTGTGTTAATGTTTGTAACTGTCAATGTGTTAGTGTGTCTTAGTGTGTGAGTGTTAGTGTGTGTGTGTGTGCGTGTGCGTATTCGCATGTGTTTAAGTGTGTTAGTGTGTGTGATTTAGTGTAACTGTATTTATGTGTATTAGATTGTGTGTGTGTTAATGTTTGTTAGAGTTAGTTTGTGTGTGTGTGTTTGTGTTAATATGTTTGAAGGTGTCAGTGTGTCTTAGTGTGTTTAAGTATGTGTGTTTGTTAGAGTGTGTAAATGTGTGTGGGTTTGTATATGTGTATGAGTGAATATGTGTTTTTAGTGTGTGTCTTTTAGTGTGTGTTTGATTGAATTTATTAGTGTGTTAGTTTTAGTGTGTTTGTATTTGTGTGTGTCTGCTGTGTGTGTTAGTGTGAGTGTATTACTGTGTGTGTGCGCGTGTATGTGCGTATGTGTGTGTGTGTGCGCGCATATATGTGTATTAGTATGTGTTTGTTAGTGTTTGTGTTGGTGTGTGTGTGTGTGTTGAATTTTTACCGCTGAATATCGTTTTACCCGTTACCCGCAATTCAGGACACACAATTGACTGATACTAAGTGCTAATATATCCGCTCTGTCATTCTGGGCCCCTAACTGTTTATTGATAAAAATAAGAACCGTTCCGGGCGACGCCCATAAGAAATTTTTTAAGAAACATTTTCGGGTGTATTCTCATCAACTCACTAAAGTTTCATGCCGATCGGATGAACGGTGTTTGTTTGTTTCACACTTTTGTTTGTTTTCTTGGGGTTCAGATTTATTGTTTATTTCTACTTCATATGTTAAGGCATCAGATAGATTTTAAAACTGAGGTTGCAAGACAAAGTCCCAAACAAGGAACTATGGAGAAAGACAAGGAAGGGGCCTATAACACTGCAAATAAGAAAAAGGAAGAGGCGCTCGGTGGGACACACACTGCGAAAGTCTCTCACAAATGTGACACGCCAGGCGCTTGCGTGGAACCCCCAGGGAATGCGGAAGATAGGGCGCCCAAGAGAGGCCTGGAGATGGAGGCTTCTCGAAGAATAGACGCCACAAGCGATGTCTTGGGGGATTGCGAAATTAATAGCCGGGGATCCGACTGTTTAAAGAAGGGCAATAAGTCATGGAAGTAGTGTAATCGTTAGCCTACCAGTCAAACTAAAGTTAATATAGATTTTAAAAAATATTTTTCTACGCAACAGTGCGTGTTAGTTAATGTAGAACAATCACTGTTATTGTAGACATGTTTTTTTTTACAAAAAGCCCCATCAAGGTGCGCGAAAAACGTAATTCATGAAAAAAAAATGTAATGTTTTTTTCGTGTTGGATTTCGGACGCGTAATCGGCTGCCTCCCCCCCACCTCCACCCCCACTTCCGCATTGCAGGTGTCTGGTAGTTCCGCCATTGCGGTAAACTGGGGAGGGAGTGGGGGATATTAACAATAGCAGTTCATATTTTAAAATAAAGGTATACTCAACAAACTCGAAAAGCTTAATTGCAATCCGATAAAATATTTAATAATGCTTAAAAATATATAAACAGAATAACAGATAAATCAACCACACACACATACAGACGTATATAGGTAGAGAAACGTATTAAAAGCTCATTGTAAGCAGCATTACTGAATTATTTAAAGTCGAGGTTAAGAAATTAGACTGCTAACTAGCTGTACGGTCTAGTTGTCTACATCGAATGTGTGACACAGTAAGAAAAAGTGACTGGTAAAAAAGGCCACTTTCCAAGTTAGTGAGGGGTGGCGTTTTTTCAACAACGTAAATATTTAGGTCTAAACGGAGGGGGGGGGGGCGCAAAATTGATAGTTCGCCCGGGCGCCGGAACGGGTAGCTACGCCTCTGGCCATGTGACTCAACAGATGACACACCAGCAACCTTTTAGTTTTCCAGGATTCAGGTTAGAACTTTTGAACAACAAATGCGGAAATGATATGAATAAATTGCAAGTATACTTACAGATCAGTTGATGTTGTTTGACCAGCTTTTTGTTTCAAATGTTTTGTCTCTACTTTTTTTCTTTAAACAGTGAGGGTCACCTTATTCTTCGACTGTGGTGTGTACGCTATCAACGATGAGCTTGCGCGCCGACTGTGTGATAGCTGCACTTACGATGAATTCATACCATTCAGTGTTGCCACGCCCTGGTAAACGAGTAGCCAATCGGATCATTACATCTTAACCATACTTGCATCATTGTCGACGTGGCCGTTTCCCAATGAATAACTCCATTAGACGTCATCCTCAAAGGCGTTGTGTTAAGGAGGGAACAGTCCCTATACTATAGAGCTACTAACAAAGCCTGTTTACGAAGCGAAGTGTTGTGTACACATTATATGAGATAAAGAACATAAATAGTTTAAAATCATGTATGCTAAAAACTATACGAAAACCTTAGATACGAATATCAGACAAGGAAGCGCAATAGCAATTTCAAGAGATGGAAGTGAAGACTGAAAGAGGTCATTTCCAGACTTTATATATTATCTAGGTGTGTGGTATTGTGGGTGTAAAGTGAAACATTTCTTGTATTATCATCCCACTTTGGAAAAAACCCTCAAGAGTAGAGCAGAAATAGAACACCATCTACTGATTTGAAGACAAGGGAACTACACAAAATTATCGTTACAGACTTATGGTTCTGATAGCAACGCCCAGTACACAGTGGCATAACAATTTCTTTCGGCGCACGGAGAAAATCGATAATTTGGCTTCCCCATATATATGTATATATATATATATATATATATATATATATATATATATATATATATATATATATATATATATATATATATTCCGACATTCCGGAAAAGATTTAATTTTTACCGTGTATGATTTGTGTACCCCAGAACTTTACTTGACGCCAATTACATTCCCCTTAAGATGCGCAATCTTTAAAAAAGAATAAGGTCATTCAAGTGACATACAATAGCAAATTATCAGAAACATTTATTGTACATATGGGAATACGACAAATTTTGTGTTGACTGGTTGACTGTATAATAAAACAAGCTAGAAGAAATAAACTTGAATCCAACGCATGCAATCAAACAGGGATTAGACAGAAAACTCATTTTGTTGTAAGTAAAGCTCAGTCTCTATAAGACTATAAATCCTATTGCATTAGTTACACAGGAATGCATATTATTTCATTTACATCACAAACTGGATTCAGAGTGAACACCTTAACATAACGTTCTTTCTAACAATAAACTGGTTTATATTTAATGCTCACCTGCTCATTAGCAATGTAGCTATTAGCCAACCAGATTTAAGTTATGAAAAATATTGAAATATAATAATAACACTGAACTGGAATTTATTAAATTATGTTTTATTAAAACAAAATGAGCGTTTTACCGTTATTGCGCATCTGACAAAACAAATACTATTTTCAAAGATTTACAGCAAAACTATAAGTAAATTATAAAATTATAAAACTCGTAAATCACTTGTTAATACTTCTATGAATTCTAAGATGGTTTTGTCTATATTTACTTGATAACCTGGGTATAGCAGTCATATATTACGGCATTTGTTAGAACAGCTATACCAGCCGTTCATTTCGTCACTTGTTAGAATATATATATTTGTATAACAGCTGCTCACTAATCTTATAGTGAACCTAGTTGTAAAGACCGTCCATTACTGCACTTTGTAAACTAATCATATTCTACGACACTTGTTCGAATAGTGGTCGGCGTGGTGAAGTAGATAAAGCTCATGGTTGCTAAACCAAAAAGTCTCGAGTGCGAACCCTCGGGCAGATGAGGCTCGTTAGCTGGGGACAGCCACTCTTCTAGGAGAGACAACTCTAAAATTAAACAACTGCTGCCTTGTATGTGCAAGTATTACATTTACAAAGGTCTAGCCGGTCGATAAAGGATACGTGTCGTACTACTGTTGATATATTTTTAGTGTAAGTTTGACATACATAGGCGGATCGAAATGATGAGTAAGTGGGTGGCTTAGCCAGTGTTTCTTCCAGAATTTTTTCTCGGGGGGGGGGGGGAAGGGGTGGTGGAAGGGGCACTTGATATTTTCGGGGGGGGGGGATCAATATTTTCAGGGAGGGTGGAGGGACACTGGTAAAAGTATATATTTTCTATATAAATTCTATTTCGTTCGGGGGAGCGGTAGACTTTCTTCGGAAGAGATGCCTGGAAGAAACTCTGGGCTTAGCGAGCCAACGTTCCCGGGGCTCACCCGTTTTGGCCCATACAGACACATAGAGTAAGCAAGTGAAATAAAAACTTGGTTTTACAACTATTTTTAAAAAATTTTTATTATTCGTACTTTGTGCTAAACTGAGACATAAACACAATTTTGGAGATAAATTCCAGCAGTTTCTAAATGTATTCAGAATTTTAACATCAACATAAAGACGCAAATTTTATATTGTCAGTACTTGACTGTTCTCCATTTTTCCCTTCAATTATTAATTTCAGGGTGTTTTGAAAAAGAATTGAGGGTTTTTTTTGCAATTAAAACACCGATATCCAACTCTTGCGGGAATCGATGTGTTAGTTTCAAAGACGGTCAACTTAGGTTTTTGGTTTACAGAAAAAAAATGTTTTTAATTATATGTTTCCATAATTTTTGACAATACATTATTCAATTATTATTATTACAAAATTGATCCATGGAAAAATTTTATTGATCATTTTAGACTCCTATTGATTTGTACAAAAAGGGGACATAACCTAGTAATTGTAATTTGATAAAAACAAGGTTCGGTACTTTCCCTCTTCTGGCTTTTCAGAAAACGTGGGTTTTTAAAAAAAAATTAATGATAGGAAGATAGTTGAAGCCAGTCTGCGCCTTGTTGTCGTCACGTGAGGTTGTAGAAGGCGTCGTCCTGTCTGCCGTCGAGGTAAGATGTAGTCACGTCTATTACATGTAATCAAATCTGAAAATGAAGAACGCCGTCTTGTCTCATTTAAATTGGATCGTCGTCGTACATTGTTCGTCATCTTGCAACATCGACCCTGTCCAAGTACTCACATCATAATACCCAGGGTAAATGGGGCCGCCAGAGAAAACCAGTCTTTCGCTACATTCTCTGCTCCTGTCTGTAGTTTTCTGCTTTGTGTATCTAAGTCTCCCTTAGCCTTCACAGTCCCCTATAAAGTGGATAATCAAGCACCATTGCTGTAACTTTGTCTGGTCTCATCCTACATGGCAGATCCAGCGCCATCTTTCTTTAGCTAGTTCTGAGACAGTTTCAATTTCTAAAACTCCCAGAAACCTAGGCTATTATTAAAGATAGTCTAAGCCAGTGGATGCATTTATCCTTCATTGGTAGGTCTACTAACTGTACAAAGATTCCAATATGCAGATGGAAGGGAAGAGATTGTTGCTTTCCAGCACTCACTGATATACAAAATGAAGAACTTTTTTTTTTTGCAAAAAATCTCGCTTGGCTTTATTTATGCGTGTTTTATTGCAAGTAGTGCAGTTATCATCATAATAGACTGGAAAAGTCTATGTAATCATACTAAATTTTTTAAAAATTATTTTTAAAAATATGGCAAGCGATAAAATTATAGCTACAATTTTAAAAATTAAAGTCGATAAGGAACCATCGATTACACTCCTTTTCAGATTTTTGTGTTGAACATAAGCCGTTGAAAATGATTTTGAATTATTGTATAAATTTAAATATTTAATAAAACCGCCCTCGACCCCACCTTGAACTGAACTGAAGTGGCCAGGGAGAGTGAAACGATAAATGTCATAACATTTATTGTCCATGATAAATACGAACAAGGTGATCCAAGAAAACAAAATGGCGAACAAGGGAATATTTTCAGTTCGATTCAGGCTTTTAAAATTCGTTTGTATCTCTTTTCATTATAATTGGCTTATTTTTTTATGACTGTTATGCTCAGATTACTTATATCTAACATTATTCTTATTAATTGTTACCAATGTTTTTGTAGAATGTTTTTAACGCACGTTTCATTGGGTTTTTTTTTAGGCCTGTGGCCTGTGACTACTCACTCTGTGAGTGCTCTAAGGCTAAGCAGTAAGCTAGAGCTAGATCTATAAGTTTCTAGATCTAGATTACTAGATTCTAGGAGGAGTACTCTAGAGATCTATTCTAGATCTAGAAATAGAATCTATTATCTAGATCTAGTAGATCTAGCTAATCTAGATCTAGATCTAGATCGAAGTCTAGTCTAGAATCTAGTAGTAGATCTAGGATGTTACGGCTTTTTAATATGTTTAATTATTTATTAAATAATATAAAAAATAGGCCTACTAGATCTAGATCTAGATTCTAGATCTATTCTAATTTATATACTTAATACTCAATAATACTAATACTAATACTATAATATTAACTACTAACTAGATCTATACTACAGATCTTATAGTTAGTCTAGTTAAGTAACTTTATATTGTACGTCAGTAGATCTATTAAGTAAAAGTATAAGTCAAGTAGAGTAGAGATCTACTCTAGTCTAGATCTAGAAGTTATATATTTTATAAATATCTATATTAAATAATTCAAGTATTTTAAGTTAATAGTAATAATAGATAAGTTAAATAAATTAGGCCCATAGTTTATATTATAAATGTGTAGCTGGTATAGACTAAATTTAGAGACTAGTCATATAGTAAATAGTTAATCTTAGTCCTTGGTAATTAGTAGGGCACTACACATACACCTAGTCTAATAAATGATTAGTCTAATTAGTTAAAGCCTACTTGTTAAAATATATTTACTATACTAGTAGTATTAGTAAGTATAGTTACTCTATACAGTTACTAGGTATATTATAATACACACAACCTCATAATTGCAAAATCATGACATTAGTGAATCAATTATTTAGTAGGCCAATAATTTCTATATTAATTTAATTTTAATAGTTAATATTTACTAAATTACTAGATCTGTACAAAATACATTTTATTTAAGATAATTTAGGCTATGGTACAGACGACAGTCCTAATACTTCAATTACATTGTTATTAATATTATGATTAGGGCCTAGTTAAAGGTAATTACTAATTAGACTTATGTTAGTCTAACTAACAGATTCATATTTAATAACAGTAGGTCTATAGGCTTAAAATAGTATCGTAAAAAAAATAAAGTATGCTT